CCATGAATCAATATTAACTTACTTCAAACATTTAGCATGCTAGCCTCTTTCTTCACGGTAATGATTAATGCAGAGGTACCTCTTATTATAACCTAATATAGAATTTTCATATTGACGTTGATATCACTTGCGAGTTTCTTTCATGCTTCATTTTTGTAACTCCTTTGTTTGTCATCTTTTGTTGTTCTCCCATTTACAAGGCTCTGAGCTATTTTTCTTTCTAGTTTCATGTCACCACTGAGCTATCCAAGGTAATGTAATTTTTGACAGGTTCTTACCTGTTAGGGGTATAACTGGTTTTGTATCACATTAAAGTATTTTTAAACACCTCCCACTGATTTGTTTTACCTGTGAATGGATTTCCCCAGTTTAATCTGGAATAGTCACAGTCTCATCCCATTCAAGTTGCTGAATTGTCGCATAAGGGGACGTGTGACCCTCAGTAGACAGCCATCCTTTCCACCTCTGCACATTTTTTTTAAACAGATTGCCTTACGAGCCACGCTGTAACTCCAAATCTTACGTTTTAAAAATTGTCCTAATCAATGCGACCAAAATTTGGAAGTGTCATCATAAACAAAATTCACAATCATTCTTGTCCATGACCCTGGAGGTTCATAAAATCATGAAGGGGCATGGAAAGGGTGAATAGCCAAGGTCTTTTCCCCAGGGCTGGGGAGTCTAAAACTAGAGGGCAGAGGTTTAAGGTGAGAGGGGAAAGATTTAAAAGGGAAAGGAGGGGAACGTTTTCACACAGAGGATGGTGCGTGTTTGGAATGAACTGCCAGGGGAGATGTTTGAGGCTGGTAGAATAACAATAGTTAATATGCATCTTGAAGCGTATATGAATAGGAAGGATTTAGAAGGATATGGGCCAAATGCTGGAAAATGGGATGAGATCAGCTTATAATATCTGGTTGACATTGATGTTGGACTGAAGGGCCTATTTCCGTGTTGTATGTCTGTATGACTCTATGTCCCTCTATCAGACGATGTCTAAAATTGTGAATACTGGTCAGAATGAATATCGAAAGAATGTGTCATTCTTTACTCATTGTGCAATTATGTTTTTTTGGAAAATTACATTATTGTTTAGATAGTAAATAAACTTGATTGAAGAAATTTACGGAATGAGGTCCATCATCCTTTGTGTAAGCTGAATTTCTGTAATGATTCGTGTCAACACACAGAAAATCCCAGAAACTTGATTTCAGAGTAAATTTCCAGATTCCTCGTCTAAGTGGCATGATCAGAGGCTATTGGATGCCATCATTCTATAATCCACTATGCTTCTTAGCAATGGTCATCTGACATAAACTTTGCATCTGACTAAATCCTGTTGTGGAAAACCTATTAAAGTCCTCCCCCACAAGATACTACTCCTCAACCACAACTCCTGACTTCTCAGATTCATATTTGTGTAAAGTTTCCTGTGTGTTCTAGTCATAATAAGAAGCATTTAAATCTATGTATGAATAGATCGCATAGGGAAACTTTTGAATATGCTGACAAATATTTGCTGGTCCACGGGAGATTGTCACAGAGATTAATTGGATAACTTTACAAAAGAGCCAGTTTGATTACAATGAGCCGAACAAACTTATTCTGTGTTGTATGAATCAATGATTCAGTTGCTTAACTATATTTAAACATTTGAACCATTTCTGAAAAATCATATATAGTTAATGAGCATTTTCTAGTGTCTCACCAGTGGTTCTGTAGTTCTATATGGTAACATACCATTACACAAACCTGCTGGCCACTAAATTGCCCTTTCAGCCTCATGTCTGGAAATATCAAATAAAAGCCAGCCACCCAACAGAAATCAGAAACATTCCAATGAAAGATAGGGCTGAATTTATCAAAAAGTGTCAATTTTACAGAGTTTTCTGGAAGGTTTCACTCTGCAAACTCGCATGAACTATCTCACATAACTGTAATGAAAAAGAAAAGCTTCTGATAGCGTATACCTGGCACGGGTGACACTTCATTACAAATACAAGATCATATTTGGAAATGCTATTTACAACACCTGTTTGATTGACTGTCCTTGTAACTGCAGCTACAAGAATGAAGCTACACATTCTTAGCACCACACCACGTTAGAACCCAGTGTAAGGCAAAGCCTTCAAACAGTTGAAAATGTTAACTTTTGTTCAACAACAGCAGAAGTGAAGAAAGATACAAAGAAAAAGCTGCATTTGCCCCCAAAAACAAACAGGGACTGCCTGCCCTTTGAGCTACAATGAATGATCATTGGGCAGCTTGGTGGCTCAGTGGTTAGCACTGCTGCCTCACAGAGCCAGGAACCCAGCTTCAAGTCTGCCCTTGGGCAACTGTCTGTGTGGAGTTTGCATTTTCTCCCCCATGTCTGCGTGGGTTTCCTCCGGGTGGCCCAGTTTCCGCCCACAGTCCAAAGATGTGCATGTTAGGTGGATTAGCCATGGGAAATGCACGGTTACAGGAATAGGGTGGGGAGGAGGCGTGGGTGTTGGGGGGGAATGCTCTTTGGAGGGTCAGTGTGGACTTGATGGGCCAAATGGCCTGCTTCACACTGTAGGGATTATATTATGATTCTATGATCATTTTGTCCAGCTCACATCTATTTGAGTCAGGTGGCAATTAAATCCTATCAGGATCATTGTGCTCAACATTGCAGCACTCTATCATAGCGAAGGTGATGTTCCTCCTATTCAGTGTCCTCATCTTCCTCCTCGGAAGACTACCGTCACACTCTCAGACTGTGCATTGCATGCCCTTTACTGAGCACAACATTGCAAGGTTTATGCAGCACACTCCACCTCTACTATACTGAAAGGGCACCTCAGGCCAATTCAAGCATTGAATCCCCGTTCAGGAGGCCAATTATCTGCCTCGTGATGGCCCTCGTAAACGAATAGGCTGCATTGGGTCAATACATGCCCCAACCATGGTGCGGCATGGTGGCTCAGTGGTTAGCACTGCTGCCTCACAGCACCAGAAACTTGGCCATGCTAAATTGCCCATAGTGTTTAGGGATGTGTAGATTAGATGGGTCATAGGGGGATGGGTCTGGGTGGGAAGCTGTGAGGGTCGGTGTGGACTTGTTGGGCCGAAAGGCCTGTTTCCACACTGTAGGGATTCGCTGATCGATGTATAACGGCCATACCAACAATTGTGCACCCCATTGAAGGCAGTGTTTTTGTGTCAATTAACCGGCTCCGCGTTCCTCTGGTAACCCATGCGGATCAGTGCGCTATCATTTCCTGCACACTACCATTATGTTGAGCTGCCCTTGATTGACTGTGGCAAACAGTCACTGCCCACAGAATGTGCCCTGTTGCAGACTGCTGTCCAAGGTGGAGGCCCAGAGATCAAGGACCAGAAGCTGGAGCAGCCAGGTACTTGCTGTGACTTTCATATTGGGAATTGTCGATGTCTGGTTTCTCTATGGCACATGGAATAATGGGAAATGGCTTATAAAGGAAGTGATATTGGGTATTAATGAGATGGAAATGCCTGCAAATAGACGTCTTGCGAGTCTTGTCTTGCTGTTCACAACCTCCTTGCAGAAATCAGACATTCTCTTTCCCCCTCAGTGTGAGAATCTGGTTCTTTTGAGAATCTCACCATATTTGCCCAACTGACTTGCCATTGTCCACATCCTTCAAGACCTAGAAATATACATAGGAACAGGAGTAGGCCATTCAGGCCCTCGAGCTTGCCCCATCCTTCAGTGAGATCGTGGCTGATTTGTGGCCTAACTCCAGATATCTGCCTTTGCTCCATATCCCTTAATACCTTTACCTAACAAAAATTTATCCATCTCAGATTTAAAATTAACAGCTGATCCAGCATCCACTGCCATTTGTGGAAGAGAGTTCCAAACATCCTTCACCTTTTGTGTGTAGAAGTGCTTCCTAATATCCCTCCTGAACAGTCTGGCTCTATTCTCAAACTCTGTCCCTAGTTTCAAAATCCCCACCAGTAGAAATAAATTATCTTTTATCTGCATTGCCTTTTCATGTAAATGTCTTGAAGACTTCGATCAGATCACCCTTTAACCTTCTAAATTCCAGAGGGCCCATTTTCTTGAGCAGCTTGTTCGGGGTGAGTGGTCTATGTAAGACATGCAGCAGTTTTACCATTGCCAGCTCATTCATTTTGTGGTGTCCATGAAATAGAGAAAGCAGGGGTATTCTCTCACCCTTAGGGTAAGTTGTTTATGATAGTCTGCAACTGGATGTGTTCAGCAGTCAGGTTTCTGACAATTCTACCCTTTGACTGACTGCAAGAATGGTTGCGAGAGTAATGAAGGATGATGTCCTTGATGGCAATTCTGCTGGTGAAACCCATTACCAGGAACTTAAAGCCTATAAAAAGCCAGAAGGATACTTTTCCCACTATTCAACAGTTTGTTATTCACAGGTAGGACCGCACATTGATGTTAGCTGCAACAAGCCTATTATTGTCTAATTTCTGCCTGGAGTACTCAAACCTCTCATCTTTGCCCAAGCAACAAAAATAGGTTGCTTTTTCCATGATGAAAGGCTGTGTCATTTCAAATTGATCGAAAGAGGTTTTTTTCAAGTTCAATTTGCAACTCCCCAAGCTGCAAGGTTTCATGTCTGCCAAACAGCTCGCCAGCAAGTAACTGTTAATATTTGAATGTAAGCCCAAGAAGTCTGTATTTCATTAAATCAAATGCTTGTTCATGGACATTCTGTCAGGTGATAAGAGTATGATGTGATATATGTATAAATGATTGTACACTTCAAAAGAACACATGTAGCCTTATATATAGTCAGCAGTTCAGCTGTTTGTAATGCTAAATTGCAAACTTCTTAGAAGTCTTGCATTTTGTTCATACAGATGGGTACTTTTGACTATTCACCAAAAGATGCTCCTAAAATTCTTCGATAGATCGGACTATTTGATACCACATTGTGCTTTGTTCCTTTATGTTTTAATGGGCCTGCACTTTCTAAACTTGACACTCAATAACAATTTTTGATTTACAGACAGAGGACTACTTAAAACACAAGATTCGGAGTAGACCTGAGAAAGCAGATCTGGTTAATATGCATATACTACAAGGTAAGTACCAAATTTTCTATAACAGTATTAGGTCTTGTAATAGTATCCATCTGAATATGACTCAAAAATTTTAAATGCCAAGCAATTTACCTCCTGTGACACTGTACACAGGCATTTAGGAGGATTGAGGCAGCTTTGCTGGTTTGGTTATTTCAAAAACGTGTGGGCTAGTTTTACAAAGCAATATCAAGATGAGCAAGGCCAATTGAACTCTGGGTCGCATTGAATTTTTGATTACACATCGCTGGTTTTAAATTAAGTACCCTGATTGGACATGAGGTGAACTCAGCAGGAGCAATCTGCTGGGCACCAGGGACAGACACAGGCAGAAACAGTAAAGAGACCTGCCACTGTCTGCCAAAGAGAGCAGGCAATTCCTCAGCATAGAAGGATAAATTGGAGTGCAAGAGGGCATTGCGTTAGCCGGCTGAGAACATCTGAGGGCCTGATAATTTGAAATGTCCCAATGACTAACTTAGCAGCAAATCTGTCAGCTGTGCACTAATATTCACCATTCCAACAGGGCCAACCATCTCAACTTGTTGACCAGCACCTAAAGAGATTTCTGTCCACAAAAAAGACCCTGAGCTTCCAGTTGCCTGCCACTTTAACACACCGACCTGTTCCATGGCCAACATCTCTGTCTCAGGCTTGCTGTAATGCTTCAGCAAAGCTCAGCACAAGCTGAAAGAACAAAACCTCGTTTTCTGCTTGGGGATCCTGCAGCCTTCTGGACTCCATATCAAGTTCAATAACTGTAGGGTTTGAGCTCTCTCATGTCCTTACCCCCAGTCCCAACAGACCAGGGCTTGTTATCACATAGTCTGCTATTACACACAACCCTTTAGTAGCTACTAGCAGTCTCTACGAATAGCGAGTCACCCTCCCTGCCAGATCGTTATCCACTCCTTTGCCTGTCCAATTGTTCTTCCCTCAATTTGGGCTCTATCCTCACCTATTGTTTACTCCTTAACCCCTCCCCCAACCCTACTGTCTGCATATAAACTGACATTTTCCCAGCTCCCATCAGTTCTGAGAAAGATCACTTGACCTGAAACATTAACTTTGATTTCAAGTCACAGATGCTGATCTTTTCTAGCAATTTCTGGTTTTGTTCCTAAAGAGACTTCGTTGGCCAACTATTTGAAATCTCTCAATCCCTCTACCCCATAGCTCCTCTTTGAAAACTATAGACTGTCCCAGAAGCATCAAGATACAAGAATGACCACCAACTGCTGTGGTGAGATTTGAACCTGTGTCTCCAGAACTGGAGCCCTGGATTACTAGTCTAGAGACATTACAATGATGCCACCAACTCCCCAAGCAACAAAAATTAACCTAAGAGCAGGCTAACCTTACCATCCCAACACTTGGATTGACTGAGGAGTGACATTACAGAGGGTTGTCAACTAGTCAATGGACACATTCCAGGAGGTCGTCCTGCCAATTCCTTCTGCCTTTTGAGACAATCCACCATTTCTTTCAATTCTCCATCATCTGCAATATATTTTATAATTAATAAAACAAATGTATTCAAAGATGATTTTTCTCCAGAGTTTCTCATCTGTTGACCAGATATTAGTTTCAAATTCCCAGAGCCTTGTTCACAATCTTGGAGGGTTTTCAACCTTAATGCTAAACTGTTGAAGATTGGTTAACAAGGGTGTAGAAGCTGGTAGGTCAGATCAAGCAACTACAATGAAGTCAATGTTTTCACACAATTATACAACTGCACTTAACCAAGCAACTGAAATTACTGCTAGCAATATGTTCAGATACAAGGTTTGATTTAGACTGATTACTTGTGTGGAAATTTCCTAAAGCTAGCATAAAATGGACATTTTTTTTCTCAGCAGTTGTTGCTAAGTTTATCTTTTGGTCCAATAGATACAGCTGCAGAAGGTACACTTCAAGCAACTCAAATGAAACTCAAGAGGGCTAGGCTAGCTGATGATCTCAATGAGAAGATAGCCCAAAGACCTGGACCCTTGGAACTCGTGAAGAAGAACATAATTCCTGTAGATTCAGCTGTCAAAGAGGCAATCAATGGTATTTACAAAACTCGCGTGTGATCCTGGTTTGGGATTTGTACAATTACTATTTGTGTTTTATACATTGGCATCTTCTAAATTCAGCAGGATTCATGCTAAAGTGAACAGATTTGTTTGCTGCTGTGAGAGAGAATTTGTAATGTTATTTCTCAAACTCGGAAATCTTGATTCTTTATCGCCACATTGTCAGGCAATTTGGAAATGAAAAGAGAAGTTAAGAGGGTTATTGCCTCGAGTGACGCTGTGTTTCAGGCAGTTGCTGAGATTTTCTTGATAAACGTTTAGTTGCATCACTACCTCTATTTTTCCAACTGTAATTAGGTACCTGAGATCATTTGGAACCCTCCATTTTGTGTTTTATTTTGGTGGATATATAATGCAAATATGATCAACAAGGATTTCTTTAAAAAGCACAGATGGTTTTCCTGATGAAAGTGGTTTTAATTTCACATTAGCGCTCTGATTGCACAATTTTAACCATTATCTTTTGTCTTTGTCACGCTCATAAAAATTCACTGAAGTAAGTTTCCTGGAACCCCTGTGATTTTCAACTTGTAATGTTAGTTGGAAGACACCTTGTGATAAATTTGCTTATTCTTGATATGAAATTCATCAAATGATGGAAGCATCACTTAACCCACATGTGTTCTGTCATTAATCTAACCTATTCAGTGATTTTGTGCCAGTTGAATCACATTGGCGATGTAATGTGCGAGTGTAATTTGGCAAAATTTGTTTTTTTCCATTGTCTTATGATAACTTTGGCACCCAGTTCCAACATTTTGCCTATGCATGGAATCTTGGAACTAGACATTTGTACTATCCGAACTTCTAAGAAAAAACTCAACAATGGTCAGGTATTATCCGTGATTTCATATTTCATGTCAACTAGGGTCTGGAAAATGCCAAAACATGTAAGTTACAGGACGTGTTGGAGGAACTGTCATTTCTTCTTGATGACTTAATGATAAATATATCATGGTTACTGAAGCAAGATATCAAAAATGGCACTGGATTTGGTCTTCAGTTTGAAATGAGTGAGCCACCATCAGCAACGGGAGCAAACAAGGCACTGGAATTGGTCTTATTGTTCAGACGAGAAAGGGACAAAATCAAAATTGCTGCTGCTGCTTGATATCCTGTGGTTTCTGCTCTGTACATGTGGGTTCTTCAGTGAGGACCTGGTTGTTTTTGACAGCGATGGTTCCACCAGCTAAATATTTTCAACTGCTTTTCAATCCAAAGATTAATGCCCACATCGTGTGAGTGTTAGTGGAATCAAGCCAAAGGAAGAGCCCACACCCTCAGGAGGTTTGGGAAAAGTTGGTGCCTTCAGGGACGAGTGGAGACTCAGTGGCTTGTGGAGAGGAGGAACGTGTCAGTATATTCATGAGAGGAGAGAAGAAAGGAAAATAATAAAACCGGGCCTCTTTATTGCAGGAATCACAAGTCCGGGTCAACTTTAAATTAAACAGTCAATGTGGAGAAAAGAACTGTTCGCTCTGGTAAAAGGATTGAGAGCGGGAGAATACAGATTTAAACTAATTGGCAAAATTGGCAGCGCCTGAATGTAGGTTCAATCAAGCCCTTAAAAAACAAGGGCCTAGAACCTGAGAAGGAAGAATGAACAGGGTTACAGAGACCAGTACCAGAGTTGGGGTTACTTGGGCAAATTGTTCATTCAGAGATCTGGTGCAGCCTCGATGGGCCAAGTGACCATTACAGCTCTGTAACAATTCTTTGGTTCAGAAAATTTAGCCTCAAAAAAAATTTTGTAATGAAAGTACACATCAGAGACCACTCATTGTTTAGTTTGTTTCATTTATGACAAAGAACTTCTGTAACTTCGTGAATTATGATGGATGCAGTTTTCCCTTCTGTAGTGGGAGTGAGGAAGGTAGCAACAAGGGTAAATAGGTTGAATGAGTTGGCCCCAGAAAGAAACTCACCCTGTTCTTACCACCTCAGAATTAAGAGCTAGACAAGAAGTTTCACTGGGTACCTTCCTGAGCCATCAACAATTAAAGTCCTTAAATGGTAAATTAACAGCCACTTAAGAGCCTCAACAGGTGACTGGCCTAATTGCCCACATTTCTTGCAGGCAGTGGCTGGTTTACCGATTGGAACCAGGGCAATAGGCCGGCCGGGTTGGTGACGAGGCCTCCGTTTGCCCTTTTTGGGGGGTATTTCAAGGATGAGGCAAGATTGGAGCTGTTGAAAGTCAGCCCCCACCTCCTTGCCTCCAGATCGCTTCCGATGCCCCTTTCTCCATTACCCCAACCTGGGACACCAAGAACAAAAAGGCTTGGCTTTGCACCTTTGGATTCACTGAAGGCTAGGCCTCCAGCAATGATCTCTAGGGGCCTTTTGCCCAATCAAAGGCCAGCAGCTTTTAGCATGGCAGGATTTCAACTTTGGGCCCTGCAATTCAGTGAGCACCTCGGTAGTCAGCTCTGAGTAAGTAGATTGGAGTCTGATTTGGCAAGCTGTCTTGTTGGTAAGGGTGGGGGAGGGTGGAGGGATGGTTATTGCAGAGAGATCATTGGCAACTGAACGCGTGTACATGTGCGCGCACACACATGCACACAGCACCACCACCACCCACCACCCCAAACATAGGCTGCAATGTGGAAAATCCTGGCCATGGAATTTGGTTATCAAGCTACAAGGCAAAATTTTTAGGGCATAAAATTCAGCGGGTCAAAACAGTAAAGAACCAGTAATACTTGGAACTGGTCATCCATTTGAAATGCCGTAGCATACAGGGTTGTGGACCAGTTGCAGGAAAATGGAATTAGAATAGATGGGTGTTTGATGACCAGCATGGACACAATGATATCCTTTCATGCTATAGAATCCCTACAGAGTGGAAACAGGCCCTTTGGCCCAACAAGTCCATACCGAACCTCACAGCATCCCACCCAGACCCATCCCCCTATAACCCACCTAATCTACACACCCCTGAACACTACGGGCAATTTAGCATGGCCAATCCACCTAACCTGCACATCTTTGGACTGTGGGAGGAAACCGGATCAAACCCACGCAGACATGGGGAGAATGTGCAAACTCCACACAGACCGTCGCCTGTGGCTGGAATCGAACCCAGGTCCCTGGCGCTGTGAGGCAGCAGTGCTTGCCACTGTGCCACCCCAGAAAGAAGGCTACACCAAGATTTGAACTCGGATCACAGAGTTCAGAAACCACCGCGCTCACCATTACACCTTGGCAACCAGAGCCATGTTGTAAAAACTGTATGACTGTATCTTGATGACATGGACAGGTATGTCTCATTTTTCCAGTTTTCCTGTTTTCTTCTGCTGAATAGCACATGAGGACTGAACTCTTAACAAAAACTGAAAAGGAGGTAATTTAAGAGAGAATTTTGTACACAAATGCTGGGGAGGCGATAGCCTAGTGGTATTATCACTGGACTGTTAATCCAGAGACCCAGATGATGTTCTGGGGAGCCAGGTTTGAATCCCGCCATGGCAGATGGTGGAATTAGAATTCAATAAAATATCTGGAATTAAGAATCAAATGATGACAATGAATCAATTGCCAATTGTTGGAAAAACCCATCTGGTTCACTAATGCCCTTTAAGGAAGGAAACTGTCATCCTTACCTGGTCTGGCCTACATGTGACTCCAGACCCACAGCAATGTGGTTGACTCTTAACTGCCCTCTGGGCAATTAGGGATGAGCCAAAAATGCTGCCTGGCCAGCGATGCCCTCATCCTGTGAATGAATAAATTTTTAAAAATGTAAAATAGTGAATGGAAATCATCAATCCTATTTGATATTCCAGCAAAATTGCAAGAGTGAGGTAATGGGGCATGGGCTGAATCGATTAACAGGCAGATGTAGGACTGACATCAGGAAGTTTGGGCTTAAAGAGGGTGCAGAAGTTCAATTGGGTGCAGAGAGTGAGTGGAATGGCCAGGAGAGGTCAAGATGCTGCTGATTGGAGATTGGGGAAACTCGAAGGAGTGATTTTTCCCTCCAAGCCCTGCCTAACTTAGTCCAGGACCCAATGAGCATTTGACTGAATATTTGTTTTCCAGGTGCAGTTTTGCCGTTGAAGCGAGAGGTTGGCCTTCAATATTGGGCCACGACCAGAGTGTGACAAGAGGGAGAGAGGGATCAAATAGGTCGGAAGAGGGGAGGTTCTGATTCAGAGGCCAGAGGGAGAAGTAGCTGCTGAGGAAGGGCAGGGACAAATCAGAGTAAAGAGATGATGAAAGGCCTAACGCAGGAGATCACAGAAAGATCAGAAGAGTCTGAGGAATTTAAGTTGGTTAAGCAAGTCATTTGAATCAAGTATGGGGAAAACTATTTAACTTCTGTATCCTTTTAGCCACTGGGTTTCTTGAAATTTGGGAAACACAGAATTCATTCTAAGGAGTGCTTAACAATGAGGTAGTCAGCATCATTATAATCTATAAATTGCTGGCCTTTCCCCTATCACAAGAAAACCAGAATTTGGCTGGTTGAAAGCAAAATGTATTTTTAACATTTCAGCCTCCCAGCTGACCTGAACCCTCCTGCTTGTTGAGGGACAGAAATTCCTGCTGTGGTAACAGGTGTGTGATTTGACATGTCTGTGGAATGTGTTTATTTTTATGAAGGACCACATGTAGTACTTCCCCTTAGGTTTGCAGTCTCAAGTTGCATCTCATGCTTGTTAATTGCTTACACTTGGGGAACTGAGACCTTGCACGTCCTCAGCTGGGGATGTTATTGTCTTAGCTGGCATTCTAAACTTATCTCAAAAGCATTTTAGGGCAGAATTCAAAGCACGAACAGCAACAAAACATTTTATATTTTTGCAGTGTCAAGTTATCTGTCTCGGGATCTACTGTTTAAATTCAGGGCAAGATCCGTATAGGAATTGGTACCATATGCAGTTGGCCCAGGCTATCAGCTACCATTGCCAGCACCACATGGCAACCTCCCCACAATAATGACTTATTCGACTTTTGCCATCAACAGTTTGA